AAATAATCAGCCCATTATTGCTATGCATCATCATCTCGATATATCACTTAAGCCATCACCAGAAAGCTTAATCTCACATTTGAATGTAAGTTGCAGACGGCCCCTAGCACCGTATTGAAGGGCTATTTGATTTTTGTGTAAACACTTCAATTGTTATTAGTGTAGCCTCCAGTAACACAATATACATTATGTCTTTTTGTACTCGCCTTTCACAACTTTCTAAAATTTATGCAAAACAATTGACATGCTACTGATATTAACCTGCTATATTATATGTAAGATTTTAATATCTGATTCAGAAGAGTAAACATGATAAAGGAAAATTGATCATTGACACGTGGTTAGGTGCAGCAAAATAATTTACCTTTTAAAATGACGCTTTCACTAGATATTTAATGTCGATGACGTTATTTGTTCTAATTCCGAGTTCAGAGAATAAATTTGCTTGATGATAACTATAGATTTTAGCAGACAAGTCCAAATATTTAGTACTTGTAAATTTGTGTGTAATAGGGCGTTTTTTGTTACTTTTGACAGTCAATTATTTTACGATCAAAACACTGCAGATGTAAGGGCTTTTTATAGTAAGCTTGTTTACATTCCTTTTCACGTTATGACGGGGGTTTAACAATATGTTAGCCCAGGAAAACATATTTTTATACTTTGAAAGTGCTACAACCCTTAATTTGATTTGTCCTTTTGGTGGGAAAATATGAGCTTGCTTCTTAAAGGGACGACCATTTGATATTCTGGGGGGGGGGGGGGGGGGGGGGGGGGGGGGGGGGGGGGGGGCAGGAGGATTTGTTTTTGATCGGTTATTTATTTTTGTAAACTAAGAGGACAGATTATCTATTTTCTGCACTGTTGAAGCAAGATTTTTCATTTTCATTAAAGCAAGGGACTGATTATTTATTTTCACAACTATATTTATAATTTTTGAAAACATACAATTTTTAAATTCATTTTTTATTATAAATAATACATGAATAGTCCAATCATAATGTACCATTTGATCAGAATTAATCATCATCATCTGTAGAAATGAATCTTCTGAATTCCCAACTGTTTACATGTATTGCATACATACAAGATATTAAAGTTTGGCTGTAATTAGCGTCTTTTAAGTATTCCAAATGATTTATGCCGAGCGGAGCGAGGCTACAAAAAATTTGAAGGGTTTTGGAGCCGCTGAAGTCCCCAAGTTGCTATAGAACTAATTATGCAAAATGTGTTTCCCATACCCTTTATTAATCTGAGAATGAAGGTTCTGTTTTAATAATTTTTTGACAAATTTTGGTCTCAAAGCAACATGTATAGATTCAGTGTAAGACTTAAGTTTTTAGGAACAGCATCAAAAGACAAAGATAAAGCAAAAATTTAATTCACATAGTTAAGTATGTGGCTGCTGTTTTTTTTTAAACTCTTGATCAAGTTAATAACAAAATTACTAAATTACAAAAGGAATGCAACACTAACAGAATACAGAAGGCAATCAATGAACAAAAGACAAATAAATAAGAAACATTGATCCCCAAAAACAGGAGCTACGTCTGAGGGAGAACAGAACTTGCTTCTTGCCGCGAAAACAATTTGATATGAAGACAAGCTTTTGGTTTTGAAATTTCCTACATGAGGCATTTGCCTGAATGTAGTTACTGCCATATGTAATAAAAGTGAGTTAAGTGTTCCTGAGACAATATACCTCAAGTTAAATGAAACCCATTTTTCAGACATTTCAAGTATTTTAAATAATATTTATACTTTTATTATTCAAAGATTTGGGAAGTGATTCCCGATTTTTTTTTGAAAAAAAAGTTGAATTTTATGAAGAATCTGGTGCAATCTCATGCTCTCAAATAGACCTGCCGAGTTATTTATTTTTAATACATTGCAAGTCAGGTTATTTATTTTCAAACTACCACAGAAGAAACCATTTATTTTTGTGATTATCAAGGCTGAGTTATTTATTTTTAAAATCCTCCTGCCCCCCCCCCCAGAATATCAAATGGTCGTCCCCTAACTAAATTCCAAAAATGTGTCAAGCTACTGACTTTGACAAAGCTATAAACAACTAATGTATGCTAAGATTTAGTAAACAAAATAAAAAAACGAAACCAATCCATATATATTATATACTTTGGCATTTTTTTTTTTTTTTTTTTTTTTGCATATTTGCTGTACATATGTAGTACATGTCTTGGTTGAACTTGTTAGAGATAATTATATGTTTTGTCATTTTTTTCCAAGAACAAAATATATACAAATTTCAACTCAATCGTGATCGAAAAAAAAAAAACATTTTCTTGGCCTCTTAGTGTGTCACATGATCATTTTTCCTAGTATCTGATTACGTGTACCTGGCGCCTTTGAAAAACGCAAATGATTCAAAAAGCGCAATGCGTCGATATTTTACTGAGGAAATCAATTTATTTTCGGTAGGTTATTCGTCGTTGGTGTCTTATATGTGCTATCCCAGGTGAATGTACTCCTTATAAATACAATAAATATAGTGGAAATGCCGTATGTGACCGTATTAGTTAAGAGGTTATATAAGACAACAGCCAAAACCTTCAAATGGTTTTTCCAATTAATTGTAGTCCATTATCTTTATCATCGGGTAGTTTCAGCACCAAAAAATGAGAGAGCAAAATATATATAAATACACAGGATCAAAAAAGGTTAATGTCCTCGTCACTTAGAGGCCTGGAAGTATTGTGTTACCATCGTCCGATATTTCTTCATTTCGAAATACAAACAAAGGTTATAATTGCGAGCTAGGAGAAGGAGTTACCGTTTTATTCTAGATGACCTTCTTTGCACGGAATATTGGTTGCAGACGAGGGTATTCGTGTCGACAAATGTATTTGGTTTTTTTATATATACAAAGTTTTATCAAATTATATTGCCTATTAAAACAAATACTAAAGGTTCTGTGCTGTATTCATTTTGGTTAATTACTATCAATGACTTTTATAAACATAAGATGTCAATGAAACAGGAACCCAACGATACAAATGATATGTAGAGATTAACAAACATTCATTGTACCGTCTTCAATTATAGACTAATGATGTCTCAATACGATTCTCTCTAGAAAAGTTTAATTATGAACTCAGTTGAATTGAAAATCTAAGATCATTATGTGATAACATCCGAGAAAGATCACTTCAAGACAAAAACCCAAACATGTTAACTGCAAATGAAAGGTATGGTTTTTTTAATAAAAGACATTACAGGTTAATTGTATGGAAATCTCTATGGCTAGGAACCGTTCAGATCAGATATATGGGTCATTTTAAAAAAATGTCGAATTTTCAGTACACCTATGGTTATTGTTTTTATTTCTGATTGAAAATGCATTTGTAAAATTAAGAGGGACGAAAGATACCAGAGGGACAGTCAAACTCAAAGATTAAAAATAAACTGACAACGCCATGACTAAAAATAAAAATTAAACAGACAAATAATAGTACAGATGACACAACATAGAAAACTAAAGACTAAGCAACACGAACCCCACCAAAAACTTGGGGTGATCTCAGGTGTTTTAAACGGAAGTTTGTAGGATGATTGAGTCAGAACATCAATAATAAACACAATTTATATCTATTTTCATAAGAATTAAATAGATTTAAGTCCATTATTTGCGTAATTTATGTGCGTACAGTGTCAGGGTAACACATTTAAAATGATTTTTTTTCCTATTTTCTGATCGCCTTGATATCTGCAAAAGGAACTATTTTAAAATGTTAATGAAAACTCTAACGAAAAATCACAGCTTCTATATCGTTCTATGTAACATTTTGTCTACAAACTAAATTCAATCGGCGTACATTAATGCATGTCTATGTTGTTACCGCTACTAGAATCTGCCTTTAAATTGTTTCTCCCTATGAATATGGAACTATTCAGTGATGATTTCAAAAGCACAAAAGCATCCAAAAAATTTGACACAGCACGTTTCTTGCATAACAGTGCAGAGAAAAGAAATTTCAAGACATTTAGCGACAAAAATAGTTGTTACCCTTTTATAATGTCTATGCTGTTACCAATAAATTTATTAATTACAACAATACTAGACTTGTAAAAAGTGCAATTACAAGTTGTCAACCAAACACACAGCAGACAAACATAAACACTGCATCAAAGGGAGTAGTTATTTCACAACAGCATTCATAAATGAAGAAATTTAATTATTCTGTTATTATGGTTACAGTAACAGGATAGACAATATTTGACTAAAACGTCTTTAAAATATAATTACATATTATGTTACACATAACGAAATGTTTGGTTGTTTGAACTCGTTTAAAGGTGACAACCTCTTAATCTTTGCAAGTATGCATATACAAAATGCAATACTGCTACCGGTAACAGGATAGACAAAAAGGGTAACAGGATAGAACTTAATTTGGTGATATATCGTTCACAGGTTAACGTACGTTCCTGTTACCAAAAAACAAAACGACAAAAGTAAACCAACGTGCAAGGGGATTACTTGATGTTGGATTTATTAGAAAGAGAAAAAAAATGTTGAACATCATGAATTGCTATCTTAGACTTACGATGCTTGTGGTTATTTTTATAACCTTTGAAAACCAATTTTTAGAGGTATTTTTCTGTACAACATGGAAAATTGACAAATAGTCTATCATTTCACATAATGAAAGTATATAGAGGTTTTTACTCTTGAAAACCATCTTATTGTTGCTCCAAAGGTATCGTTTATTTTGAATTGCTTATGAAGAGGGTAGTTTAAATTAGTAACTTTTATTCAATTTTGCAATTTCAAGATTCGACATTTTTTTTTAAATGACCCACATATACATGTAAAGCAAACATTTACAGAAACATATTAATTTTGTCTCATACGTGTGTATAAGTGTGTGATTGTGTTTGTAGGTGTGTTTGTTTGCGGCTTCGCAATCAACGTCCGACTCCAGCTACACTAAAATCAAATGATCGTTCCCTTACCTCTAAATCTATAGACAAATAACGAATTTCAATTTTATTTTTTATTACATATGTGCATGTGGGATGTGTACATGTGTGCGACAAGAATTCCATCATCGTCCGACTCCCGCTACACCCTCTACACAGTGTATTGACTCGTCGTTGATCTTGACAGCTATTTCTGTACACCCTTGTTGTATTACTTTACAATCTTCTGGATGACTTGTTATTCTCATACCCATTCTGTAATAGAACATATAAATAAGAAGATGTGGTATGAGTGCCAATGAGACAACTCTCCATCTAAGTCACAATGTATAAAAAGTTAACAATTATAGGTCAAAGTACGGCCTTCAACACGGATCCTTGGCTCACACCGAACAGCAAGCTATAAAGGGCCTCAAAATGATTAGTGTAAAACAATTCAAACAGGAAAACGAACGGTCTAATCTATTATATAAAAAACGAGAAACGAGAAACACCTATGAACCACACCAACAAACGACAACCACAGAACAACAGGCTCCTGACTTAGGACAGGTTCATAAAAATGCAGCGGGTTTAAACGTTTTAACAGGCGCCAACCTGTTCATTTTAACAATTTCGGTCAGAGGGAAACCTAGTGAAAATATTACTACCCCTGTAAACAATGAAAACTAAACCTTCTCAATGTATGTCCCATTTTAGCAAGGACGCTATCTATTTTATATTCACGAGAAAACGTTATGGAAAATAGTAAAAATAGAAATAATCTGAAATAAAAACAAAACTTCCTTTTAATGTTATTATTTCCCTCCTTAAGTAGCTTGATGTAAAATTGGTTCAAAATGTTGCTATGCGAATAAAATCCGTGAGTACCAACCTCAATTTAGTTTTCTACTGGCTGTATACCTCTCTGGAACATGTTAATTATCCGTATATATATATACAGCTAGAGCAGAGAAAGTCAGAGAAAAAAGTCCAAAGGGATCGATTGATATGCAGCAAAGATTGGCACTTTTGAAATAAAGTTACTAAGCAAATTCAAACGCACCTTATCTCAATGTAAACATTGAATGTGAATAGATCGAGAAGACCGCAAATACGTGAATAAAAATCGAGACGACCTTTCTTAAAATTGCATAAAAAATTGTAGAAGGATACCTACTTGATAAGAATAGTTATCTTTAATTTCTTAACCTGCACAGACAGACTTTTAAATTTTCATATTCACGAAAAGACAATATTTCTCTATTGAATGTACATGTGACAAGAGCATACCGGTGTGCTCGATAACTTAGGTGTGAAAAAATAAATATACTTTGGGAAATTGTAAGATGCTAAGGACTTTTTTGAACACTCCAAAAATTGGTGACCCGAAAGATCTTTATATTTTGCATGTACATGACTTTTTCCAATTATTTTTTATCAATATGCAGCTTTTTTTTCCCATTTCACAAGCTTCTAATGCAATTATCTCGATAAATACTTAACACAAAACATCGTGTATTTGCATGTATATTTCTAATAACACAGTTTAACACATAATTTCTTTAAAATTTACAATTATTATTTAGGAATAACTATTGAGCAGTATTGAGCATCGGTATTGTTTTATTATTGACTTTCTCGGTTCTATCATAAGAAGACTGAATTTTCTTCTTTTTTTTTCGTTCACTAGATTTCCCACTGTAGTCAGGTGAAACACTCCTAAACAAAAAAACCTCATTTGGATAAGAAAGTTTGATGGAAAGAGAACTGCATAAAGGGGACATAAGTGTATTTTACACACCAAATAAAGCAAAGTGAGAAAAAAACCAAACAAATAGATAGATAAAAAGAAAAATGTTAAGGTCATTAATAACGACAAAATACTGACCTGTGCACAAGACATGACTCAAATGAGTTATACACACTCAAGACATGAAAACTGTAGATCTTTTTTAATGGTTGGGAAGTTAAAATATGTAAAACTTCCATTTGTCTTTCCAATATCAAGAACAGGCACATGGGATTGTTTTTGTTATTTTTCGTTCACACTAACATAATCTTACAAATGTAAGCTTCAATAATAATGATAAATTATAATGTAAAAAATGAACAAACCTATAGACTGTTATTGAAAGAATCTGCCAAAATACAAGGTTGTTCGTGTTCCTAGAACGTGTGACAGCTTTATAAGATAAATGGAAATATTTTACATTAACCACGCAGCAATATAGTGTAATTTTTTAGTCAACATTCAGAACTACGTTTTTTTCTAAATTAAACTACAAGACTAGTATAAAACATCATGGGACTCTTTTCATATAATTTTTTTTTACTAGAAAAATACTATCAAGTATGAGCATTTTTAAAAATATAACCTAATTAGATGCGGATATCGGATTTTGTCCCTAGAACATGAAACACCTTCATGAGAAAAATGAAAATATTTTACATCAACCACGCAGCAATATAGTGTAATTTTTGGGTCAACAGTCAGAACTACGTTTTTTCTAAATTAAACTACAAGTGTAAAACATCATGGGACTCTTTTCATAATTTTTTTTACTAGAAAAATACTATCAAGTATGAACATTTCAATATAACCTAATTAGATGCGGATATAGGATTTTGAAAAGGGGGCCAAAACCAGTCAACGTTTGGAATAGAACATGTAAAAAGTCTAAGCATTAACCATATATGTAGCTCCATAAGGGGGTCCCGTGCCCACTGCTCCCCCCGAAATTTGCCCCTGATATATACTACAAATACTTACGAACAACACTGTATAAGTCTAGGGAGTACACATCTACAATTATCACACCCGACAAGTTCTGATGCTCCACGTGCAATGGATTGTCTTCCTATCGAACACGCTAACCCTAGACCAGCTAAGAATATAAAGAATTAAGTGTTTTATAATCAAAAGTTTGAAGATGCTCTGGTTAACATTGTATTGAGAAGTTCCAATGATTTATTAATGAATACATCATCTGTTCTACATAAAATCGGTCTACATTAATAAAAGTACACATTCGTTTTTCCACTTTCAAAACATGTAAAGTATTGTTATGATAGACTTAACCTTAATAACATTTTATTTCCAGCTCACTTTGAAATGTAAAAGAGAGACAAGCCTGTGACCAAATATTAGTAATCTTGCCTTTTATTTGGGGACGGGGTATGGGTTTAGGGGTCATTTGTTTGTATTGCTTTGTTTTGTTTTTTTATTTTACTTTTTTTTTATGTTGTGTTAGATTATTTTTCGTTTTGTTTTGTTTTGTGTTTGTTTTGTTGGTTGTATTTTTTATTGGTGCTTCTAGATATTCGTTAGGTTGCTGTCTTATTGACATATACCCAAATCTCCTTTTAAGCTTATCTATATGTCTGTCTGTCGTGTTAATGACTTTTATTGGTAGAGCTTAAATATCTTTCAGTACGATTTTATTCCATGATATTCGCACATGTATATATTTTTTACCAGTATCGTTGCACAAGTCTTTAAACTTCCATATTTTTCATGTGTGTGTATTATTAATACACAAACACTTCCTTTGAACTTCGGTGGATAGTTGTGTTATTGGCAATTATACCACATCTCCCTCTTTTTATAAAACTAAAAACAAACATTATATATAAAGGGTGGATAAATGGAGAGTGAGCTATACTAGTATTAGATGGAGAGTGAAAGACAGAGAGCGAGAGAACGAGAGGGGGAGAAAGATTGAATGTATGTCGAATAAGAAAATTTGCTTTCATTCCCGTATCCAATGGGAGGCAACTGCAGCTAACAAATTAGTTGTTGTTCAAAGTTCTTATTATTTCCCTTTGTACACAACCGCTTCTCAGTTCTATGAACTGGTGCTCATGGTTACTTTCATAAAACATTTAATGCTGTATAAATTGTGGTCAAAGATCTTTTTCCCTTTATTTAAAAAAAACCCAGATGACATACTTTCATGAAACTGATGTAAATACCCTGTCCGGCTTACTGAATGGGATGGTATGCATAATGATCACTGTGTCCTTTCGTTTATAGGTATTGTGTATATAAGTGTTGACTGGGGTATAGAAATATTGCCATCATTTGGGGTAAAACCCTTGCGGAAGTGGGGGTTTATTTTATGGATAGCTGTCTCATTTCATTTTTATATTCATCAATGTTTTAAAAAGTATATTACGAATTTGAATATTATATGGCGTGGCGGAAACACATATTGTATAAATATTTTTTTAGAAGAAAAAAGTATTTCAGGGGTCTCATCACGATTCACGAGTTGAATTTTTTGTCAATCACGATTCACAGAAAATAAATTTCCATGATCACGGATCACGAAAATATAAAAAAAAAATCTGTAGAAAAACGGATCACGATAGCGAAAATGCGCTGATCACGAGAACGAAAATAACCCATCAGGCCCCTCATAACTGTGAAAAATAAAAGAATTAGGTAATGTAATATAGAAATGAACCATGTAAAGATAAAGAAATCAAGTAATAACAAATAAATCTAATAGTAAAATGATGCCATGCGGATTTATAGGATAAACGTTATTTAAAAAAAAAGACAAAAACCCACCAAAAATTAAATAATACACAAATGAAGGATCCCCGATCCACACCGCATACATTACTACTTGTACGAAGGATCCCCGATCCACACCTCATACATTACTACTTGTACGAAGGATCCCCGATCCACACCTCATACATTACTACAAAATGTACTTGTACGAAGGATCCCCGATCCACACCTCATACATTACTACTATACTTGTACGAAAGATTCAGTAGTTAAAAGAAATTTTGGGGAACTGAAACAGCCAAATGAAGACCAGTTATAAATACGCTGCTCCAAAGCTTTGAGCTTTTTAGAATGCGTAAATGATTTTGTGTCGTTAATTCGTACACCAAATCCCGTTTTCTCAACAACAAAAAAAGGACCAAATGAAGGGCTAAACCGGACAAGATTTTTTCCCTCATATACATGTACCATACAATACTGAACTAGTTTTAAGAGGGGACGCATGATAATCCCTATACCGCTATACGTATATGTATTTCATAATGATTAAAGAGACCGAAATTATTTTAATTCTTATACAGCGGGGTTTAACTGAAAGTCATTATTGAGAGAGGGGAAAGTATCGTAAATTTAGAAATTTTTGCGTTCATTTATTTTTGCGATTATTGAACACTGGACAAAAATACGAGATTAATTTTTGCGATTAAAGGAAAATTAAATGCTGCATAAATATAATGCTATTTTTTAACAAAATTGCAATGCGAAATATGCGAAACCTATCCCGTCGCAATTTTTGCAAAAATTAAAATATCGCAAAAGTTTCCGAATTTTCAGTATAGTATACAGAATTCTACTCACACGAAACACTCTTGTAATAGCACGCCGCTTCACAGTAATAGACGGTCAAAATATACACCAAGAAAACTAGTTTGACAATATTCCCCATGGTGCTACTTATGTAGTACAGCTGATGTAGAAATAAGTCGTTAAAACCTTTCAATACAACCTTAACCAAGAATATCTTCAAACTTTATATATCACTTAAAATTCTTATACTTAATTACATGGCCACTAAGATAAAATTAGCTTTTGAAATAGTTCAGAACGGATGTAATTAGAAACATGTATAGTATTACGTAGTACAAGACCAAAGGGCGTATGTTGATTGTTAAATGTATAAAAATCGTTACTTATTTAAGTAGTTTTACTATGTATTTCTTGTAATACTTGATTTTCAGCCCAATTTGGGTTTTTTTGTATGTATTTTTCTACGTTCCGATTTGACTATTGTTTTCTCTTGTTTTTTTTTTTAGAGGGGCTGAGGATGTTCAACATGTTAGATGCTGTGCGTAAGCTACATGTATATCAGGTAATGTGGTACGGTTTTTAGCACCCCTTCGTTAATTCTCAATATAAAAAAGATCGGATTGATATCAAATATACTCGTTAGGCAAGGGTTATGACCCGGTCCCATCATATACGATACTTATGTTATATTTTACTATATGAATAAAGGAGATCAGGAAACTTTAACAATGTGAACAAGCTCCACAAATATCGAATTTTGTTTTCTGGAATCTGATTCCAAATTATAAGCGAAAGAAACTATTGGTGTTTACGCAATAGTTCTCTTCTTCAAGAGAAAACGGGAGAGGTGGTGTCGTGCTTTTTTGTGACTTTCGGGTCACATAATTATTTGGAAAATCAAATACAATATTACGGAGATGAGGAGTAAGCCACGCTACCTGCACAATCCAATAACAATGCCTGCAAACATCTTAACCCCTCTAATAGTTGTGGCTGCTATTCAACTTCGAGTTTGCATTTTAATTTCCACTTATGGTTTTGGCTATACAAAAATAGGAAGATGTGGCGTGACTGCTAATGAGACACTACAAGCTAGCGACTGTAGGATACTGTACGGCCTTCAACAATGGGGGAAACCCATACCACATAGTAAGCTATAAAGGGCAACGAAACGACAAATGTAAAACAATTCATACAAGAAAACTATAACGGCATGCTTTGTGTACAAAACAATAAACGAAAATCAATTATGATATACAGCAACAAATGACGACCACCGAATTACAGGCTCCAGACTTCGGACAGGTAGATACTGTATGTGGCGAGGTAAAACATGTTTGCAGGCACTCAAACCTCTTTCTTATTCGGTTTACTTAAATAAAATAGTTTTATTAACCCGATTCCGATTAAGAGGTGAATATCGTTGGTACATGTATCAACTCTCGTTATTCGTTACTGAATTTTAAAAATTATCACTTATAATTAAACCTACTTCTATCACATTTTCTATTATGGACGTGCATGAAAAACGTGTTACTGCCGATCTAATTAACAAGCTGAAGATATTGACTCAGTATTCTAGATTGTTCTCAGTTTCAATTCCTTTGTTGTTTGCCTTGTTTGCTCTCTGTATTGCTCAGATGTCTTCCTGTAATCCCTGTTTGTTACGTTGTTGTATACAAATTTCTTTGATGTACAGTCGCCGATATTAGAGTGTGGGACAGAATCTCAGACTTTTGATTTTTGTGACTGAAATCTCCATTGTCGCCACAAAAATAAAACTTTCTCTGTAAACTCTGTGATAATTTCAAGATTAAGGCTTAAACAAGTACACGATTTCTTCGAATTTGAAGCAAAATAAAGAAATTGTGAAACTACTTACTACTATATATGGTCAGATGAGGTGCGTTATTTCTGTCATTTAACGTCTAATCTATTAAAACAAGTACTGAGAGTATTGCATGGCAATACATAGTCCCTTACCGGTTAAAAAGTCATTGTATTAGAACAAAATAAAAAAAAAAAAAAAAAACTGATTACTGGTATGTATTTTCTAAGTCTAAGGACCAAAAATAAATATCATCTGAACGGAGCAACATTTGAACTTGATCTATAACTTTCCATTGTTAAATATTATAACAAATATCAAATCAATATCTTTAGGCATAACGAAAAAAAGTGTGGAAAACTGATTACCTGCATGAATTTTTGAAGTCCAAGGAACAAAACTCTGCACAAAATAATCAGACCGGAACAAAATTCGAACTTGATCTGTAAAACTATATACCAAATATCAATCAATATCTTAAAGCATGACGAAAACATTTGTGGAATACTGATAACTTTCATGAATGTTCGAAGTCCAAGGACCAAAACTCTGCACAAAATATTAAGACCGGAAAATAATTCAAATATGATCTGTAACTTATATACCAAATATCAAATCAATATCTTCAAGTACGAAGAAAAAACTAGAAAACTGATTTTCCGGACTGACGGATGTTCAGACAGACAGACGGACGGAGTGCAAACCTAAAGTCCCCTTCGACTTCGTCGGTAGGGGACTAAAAACAAGAAGATTGAAATGAAATGAAATGAAAATATCAGCACAATGACAATCCAGCATAATGTACATTGCTTTATATAATAACCTCAAACAGGTTAGTGGTGTTATTATTATTTTTAAGAATTAAGTGATAACTCTAGAACAGTATAAGTGACGCCACCAAAATTCAAACCTGATCTGTATTTTGTGGTAATAAGCATTGTATATAAGTTGCATAACATTTGGTTGAGATAAACTGAAGTTAGAGAACGGAAACCAACTTTGGGACGTACGGATGCTACCCAAATTTGCATTTGATCTGAGTTTTGTTGTAATAAGTATTGTGTATAAGTTTCATAACATTTGCTTGAGGTAAACTTGAGTTGGAGAACGGAAACGAAAATTTCAGCAATTATTCCATTTGTAAAGGGGCATATCTCTTAAACGGTTAAAGTGACGGCACCAAAATTCAAACTTAATCTGTTAAGCATTGTGTATAAGTTTCATAACATTTGGTTGAGGCACACTAAAGTTAGAGAACGGAAACCAACTTTGGGACGTACAGTGGAGATCACTTCTAACCTCTCATTAGAACTGTCAGAATAATCTGTCATAGAACTGTTCTAAACTGTCATAGAACAGTTCTACCTGGAACTGTTCTAAGCAGAACTGTCAGAATCAGTTCTAGGTAGAACTGACCAAATCAGTTCTAGGTAGAACTGTCAGGATCAGTTCTAGGGTAGAACTGTCTAAAACTGTTCTGGGTAGAACTTTCCAAATCAGTTCTAGTCGTAGAACTGTCAGCAGAACTGACTAAATCAGTTCTATATGACGTCACTGCAGTTAGAGAAATGTTAAAACAGTGCTGTGATGAGAATTTTTTAATATATATTATAATATTTTGACTTATTTATATTTAAGACAAAGAGTTCTTAAAACTGTTCTATGGATAGAACTGACTAAATCAATTCTAGCCGTAGAACTGACCAAATCAGTTCTAATCGTAGAACTGTTCTAGTCGTAGAACTGTTCTAGCCGTAGAACTGTTCTAGTCGTAGAACTGACTAAATATTTGGTCAGTTCTGGGTAGAACTGTCTAAAACTGTTCTAGTGTAGAACTGTCAGGATCAGATCTAGGTAGAACTGTCTAAATCAGTTCTAGGTAGAACTGACCAAATCAGTTCTAGGTTAGAACTGTTATAGCTAGAACTGTCAAAAAGGTGTCAGGATGACAGTTCTACATACTGTCCTAGAACAGTTCTCCTGACAGATTCTGACAGATTTGATGAGAGGTTAGAAGTGATTTCCACTGTATGGACGTACAAACGGACAAGGGTAAAACTTAATGCCCCCTCCTCTACGGCGGAGGCATAAAAATAGCATGTGGTAAGATTTCCGATGAGACAATTACCTATAGACCAAAGGACAAAAATATGCGCAACTAATATGGCCTTCAATAATGAGTAATATACAGTTTAACATGCCACCAAGGATCACCAGGGGCCGCAATAATAATCATTTAGAAAATGTGAAACCATTCGGAAGAGAAAACGAACAACCTGGTTTATATTACAACAATAAACGTAAAATAAATGCATGTGTATGGCAGATAGCAACAACGGAAACCTCTGAATAACAGGTTCCTGGCTTGTTATAGGGACATTAAACCTGTAGCAGGGTAAATATTTTTGTAAGTCTCCGTAACCTTGGATGGGGATGTACCAACACTACAGAACCATAACATTAACATATCCGATGGCTCTGAAACAACTGATTGGCTTGATATAACTTAAAGGACGATCCCAGATCACAGAACAGATGATGATATTCAATAACCTACAGTGACCAATGAAGGAAGTCAAAATACTCCGGAAGTGAAAATACTACGGAAGTGAAAATACTTCCTGCTTTAGTAGTGGCGGCCATAGTTTTGATTATGGCGGGAACACATCCGGTGATAAGCCGAATTCGATGATTTCATCAACGCGGAAGATAGGACGGGATTGAAATGCATTTTATACTACATTATGTATTTTATATCATATTTTGATTCATAATCAACAATTTGCGTATTGCCCAATTGAATTTGATATCAATCTATGTAAAAATTCATCTTAACAAAATTACAAGGTTAACTTTTTCTGGCGGTTCTACAGAATTCAAGCAGGAACATACTTAATAAATATTCGTTTAATGAATAAGAGTTCTCTATTTCGTTTTTGTGTTATTTTAAATATACAAATAATGTTCAACAAAACAATGGCAATTTTTTGTATAAAACTCATTACAACTGGATATGGCACAAAGACGTAATACGTCATACAATTGTTCACATACCAAGTAATAATTGTTTCATACAACAAATGCTTTAATTCTTCTGTAAAGGTCCATATAACACAATCATTTGCTCAAAACTCAGATTGTATAAACAAATCATAACTCAGAACTACAAGTAAGTGCATGCAAGTTAAAATGGCGTTTCAAAAAAATATATCATATAATTACTAGTAAATCCTAAATGGATACAAGATAACAATCATTACACTAAAAACAAGAAGATTGAAATGAAATGAAATGAAAATATCAGCACAATGACAATCCAGCATAATGTACATTGCTTTATATAATAACCTCAAACAGGTTAGTGGCGTTATTATTATTTTTAAGAATTAAGTGATAACTCTAGAACAGTATAAGTG